GCCTGCTCTGTTCCCCTTGGGAAACCTGCACACTCATCCCTCTCCCAGCACACCCAGCCAGCCCCATGCAGCACCACCCCAAGGGCTTGCTGATGGTTTTTGGGAGCAATTTGGCCTCCCCTGACTCACCTCCCCAGACATTTCCACCTTGGACAGTGCCAGTTGCACCTCTTCCTCGGTCATGTCCAAATCAAAGTCCTTTTCCCAGTCCTCACTGATATCTGTGCTGGAGCCTGGAAGCACAAACACCCCCACTGAGCCATCACAGCTGCACCTGCCCTCCAGACACTCTGGAGCTGCCCACGCAGGCCCTAAATCCCTGGAATTCCTGAGGTTCAGGGTTACCACAGCCTGCCCAAGAAGGGAAAGCCTCCACATTCCCAGGAGCAGGATGTCATGGGATGGACTGAGCTGTGCTTCCCTTGCAGCAAGGGCTGAAAAAGTGGGGGAGGTGGATGCTGAAACCTGTTCTCCTCTGGCCTGGGAGAACTGGGATGGGACAGGTTCCAGTCACACAGGAAATACAACAGATAAGGAGTGACTTAGATATGGGAACTGTCATTGTCCCCAGCAGGAAGGACCTCTTGGGGCAGGGGAGAAGCAGAGACACCCCTAGGGGTGACAGGCAGGGGGAAGGAATCACCACATTCCCTACAGAGCACAACATTTCCCTGGCATCCAGAGAACTAAGTCTTGCCCTGGTCAGCCATCAGACTTCTGATTTCTTGCCCAGTTTCATCCCTCACACAGACCCAGGTCATGACACTTGGTCACCTTGGTGGATCTTGGGTTGTTCTGGTGGCTTTGCAACCCCAGAACCAACACAACTGGGAGAGCTGCAGCAGGATCTGCTGAAGGCAGCAAGGAAAGGCCTGGAAATTATGCCAGACAGAGCTGTGAGATGTCCCTAGTCTGGGTCCTGGAGGAGTCTGACCCTCCATTCTCCTGAGGGAGTATGGAATGGGGTTCAAGAGAGGGATGAGGACAGAGCAGCAGCACCAGCCCAGCTGACAGCACTATCTGACGTGACCAACAGTGCAAGGATTTGCTCCCACTTCAGTTTCAGTCCTTAGGATCTTCCCTTCCTGGGGTACCAAAATCCCTTTCCTCCTCCCCAGCACCATAAAACCACATCCCTTTCCCCCAAATCTGCCACCCCCAGCAGGTCTCCAGGCCCTGGGTGGCCTCTCACACACCTTTCTTGCCGTTGTTGGAGGGAGTTGATTTCCCACTATCCGAGTTGAGCTCGAAGACTCGTAGATCTGTCGGCCCTTCCTCTCTCAGAGTCTCTGTCCTGCCCTGGGCTTTGCCCTCCACCTCTCTGAGCTCTGTAACAGCCACTGGCTCTGAGGATGCTGCTGACTCCTGTGCAGAAAGCTGAGCAGGGTCTGGGAGCTTTGGCAGGGAGCTCTGCTCTTCCAAAGTGGCTTCCACCAGCCTCTGGGTGAGGTCTCCAGCCCCAGTGGGTTGTGCTCCAGTCTGTAGCTGTGCAGCAGGCACAGAGGCAGAGTTTGCAATCTGAGTCACAAGGGACACACTCTCACTGCTCTCTGAGGGGCTCTGCTCCACTGGGACCAGCTCTGGGGGCAGCACAGCCCAGCTCTCCTCGGAGGGTCCCTTGGGAGCAGCGGGATGGTTTCCCTCCGGGGCACATTCCTTCTGTGCTGCTTCGGGAAATGTGATGTTTGCACAAGGCAGGGGAGACATCCCCAAGAACTCCTCTGTAGGAAGGCAGAAGAGAAGCAAGAGATGTTTCAGCAAGCACAGCAGCAGCTGGGCTGGGAGCTGGATTTCAGAGTCATGGATATTCAGGATTGGATCCACAAGGGACCAGCTCTGGGGGCAGCACAGCCCAGCTCTCCTCGGAGGGTCCCTTGGGAGCAGCGGGATGGTTTCCCTCCGGGGCACATTCCTTCTGTGCTGCTTCGGGAAATGTGATGTTTGCACAAGGCAGGGGAGACATCCCCAAGAACTCCTCTGTAGGAAGGCAGAAGAGAAGCAAGAGATGTTTCAGCAAGCACAGCAGCAGCTGGGCTGGGAGCTGGATTTCAGAGTCATGGATATTCAGGATTGGAAGGGATCCACAAGGATCATCCAGTGCAGATCCTGCACAGGACACCCCAACAATCCAACCTGTGCCTGAGAGCATTGGCCAAACACTCCTGGAGCTCTGTCAGCCTTGGGGCTGTGCCCACTGCCCTGGGGAGCTGTTCCACTGCCCAAACACCTCTGGGGGAGAACCTTTGCCTAATATCCAACCTAACCCTCCCCTGACACAGCTCCAGCCATTCCCAGGATCCTGTCCCTGGTCCCAGGGAGCAGAGATCAGTGGTGCCCCTTGGGATTGGTGGGAGTGAGGAGGAGCCACCACCCCCACTATGAGATGTGCCAAGCACTCCCACAGAGCCCCAGAACCTGACCTACCTTCATCCTCCTCCCAGCCAGGCTCCTCCTGGTGCATGCTCTGCTCTGCTCGCTGCTTCAGGGCCTCCCTCCGGGCTTCATCCTGCAGGGAACACATCCTCAGCAGCTGCCCACGTGCCCAGGCCCTTCTTCCCCCAGGAATTTCAGTGCCAGTGGCAACAAGAAGGCATCCAGATCCCTGCTTTTTCAGGAAAAGCATCCTCTGCCTCTGGCCTGCATTGGCTGCTGTGCCCAGCCCTGACTCACCTGCTCCAGGCGATGCACTTTGTAGAAATATCTCTGCCAGAACTCCGAGTGGGAAACAGCCACAGGGACCTGGGAATGGCATGGGAAAGGGATGAGTCACTTCAGAGGGAGGACTGCAGCTTCCCAAACCTTGCAGCTCCCCTTGTACACCATGCAGGGCATCATGTTTTCAGGGGCACAGACTCAGGGATGCACTGGCAGATGCTCACACACACACTGGGTAATTCCAGAGGGAATTCTGTTCCAGGCCCACAACAAACAAGCAGGGAAAAAGAATACAATCTGCTGCCTAATCCGCATACAACTATCTTACCACAGTTTACCATGCAACCACAGTCCTCTCCACACCAATCCCAGGGCCCAAGTAGCTCAGGGCTTCCCTGCACCATTCCCTAAGTCAGGAATTGCCCACAGGAGTCAGGCAGGGCCTCACCATTTTAGTGTAGAGTGCCCTGATGGAAGGGCTGGTTGCCAGCAGCTCTGCAATCTCTCCTTTCTTCTCCTCCAGGTTGAACTGAGCCAGCCAGGACTCGAGCAGCTCAGCAGGGCCTGGATGAGACAAGTAAAGAGATAATAGTCCTTGGCACAAACAAGGCAGGAAGCTTGGGAAGTTTCATTGGGAAGATGCTACACACCAGCTGGGATGAGCAAGGGGCAAAGGAAGAGGGAGACATGGAGCTCAGAGCCCATATGGGTCCTCAGCCAGCACAAGGCCACATAGCACCAGTTTAAACTGGGCTAGTAAATTCAGCCTGAGCAAGACATCTGCTATCTACAAACACTGGCCCAGCTGCAACCAGCTCTGGGGGAGTCCAGATGACCCCCAGACTCCCCCTGAGGTCCAGCTGGGCTGGACAGCACCCCAGACCTCCCCTGACCCCTCATACCATCAGGTTCATTGCAGTAGGTGGCTGGGTCAGACTGGAGGCTGTAGAGACGAGCCTGGAGGAGACACAGAGGGCAGAGCTGTCAGCAGCAGAGCCCCCAGGACAGGGAGCAGGATTGCACATCCCAGAGGAACACACTGGGAATGGGACACTCACCTTGACACTGTCATAGGGCTCAGTGGTACCTGAGGGTGTTGCCATCAGAGTTATAACATCACAGTCAATGGTCTTGTCTGGAGAGGGAGCAAAAGTGTCCGAGATGACACCCAGGAAGTCAGAGATACCTTTCCTGACCTTCTCAGTGGCACCTGAACCTTCTGCTCTCTTCAAGAAAGAAGAAGCACAGTGTCAGTAAGTGCCTGTGGCTGCAGTCCCAGAATTCCTGGATAGGATCCTTCAGGGAAGGAGAATATCTATCCTTTCAAGAAGGTACAGGACAGGACAAGGGGGAATGGATTAAGCTGAAGGAGAGCAGGGATAGATGGGACATTGGGAAGAAATCCTTCCCTGGGAGGTGCTGAGGCACTGGCACAGGTTGCCCAGAGCAGCTGTGGCTGCTCCATCCCTGGGAGTGTTCCAGGCCAGGCTGGATGGGGCTTGGAGCACCCTGGGCTGGTGGAAGGTGTCCCTGCTCATGGCAGGGGGTGGGACTGGATTATTTCTAAATTCCCTCCCAACCTAAACCATTCCATGACCTCCAGCAGCTCCTCACCACTACAGCAAGGAAACTTCAGTGCCAAACCTGCACTGTGGAGGAGATGTGACACCTGAAGGTCACAGCTGGTATTTGCTCAGTGTCCTTGGGGACAGGTACAGCCTGTTCACCCCCTGTGGCCTCTGAACACGACTCCCAGTTCTCCCAGCCCATACTCACTGCCAGCTTGTCCTTGACCACGCTGGCTGTGGCAGCAATGGTGCAGGCTGTGTCATGCTGCACCACCTGAGTGAACTCAGCCAGGTCACGTTTCATGAACTCCAAAGCTTCTGTGGACTGCAACAAGACAACAGTCAGGCTGTTTGTGGTCTTTTTGTTCTCCAACACAGCCATAATCACTCTTGGAACATCCAGCAAACATTACAGTGTGAGAGACTTTAGCCCAGCTGAGCTCTTACCCCAACCTGGGCACTGGGAGGACCACAGTAACCTGGATAACAATGGGATACTCTGCCCCAAACACATTACAGTGTGGGTTTTTTTAGCTAAGAACAGAAAAACACAGGCTGGGAAAAGCTTTGCTGTGAGTTTTGTGCATAATTAACACAAGCAATGTTGTCACGGGCAGGAAATTGCACATCACAAAGGAGGTGATTCTCACATGACAGAGCTCTGTGCTGCTCCCCTGAGCCATAAGATCCCACAGAGTGTTCAGGCTCCAGAGCTACACCAAATACATCCCAAGCCCTCTCCGAGGGTCCCTCCCGCGCCCTGGGGGGGCACCAGGCAGTCGCTGGGCTCGGGGGATCGGAGCCGGCGCTGCCCGAGCTCCGCCGCGGGGAC